CTGCTTTTGCAGAAACACTGGCTAATAATGTGTCAACTTGCTACGGAAGGTACTACACTGATAAACACATCATTTTAGCCTCGGTGTTAGATCCCCGTTTCAAGACAGAGTGGGTCATCCGAGATGAGGTAGTCTGCAACAAACTCAAAGAGATCCGCAACCTCCTTTTCGAAGAAGCCGAGGAAAACACTCCTCCTGCGGTGTCACAAACTGTGGCTGACACCCCACTCACTGCCACCCCGGATCCTAACCCTAAACTAAGTAAAAGAGCTCACCTGTTTGGGTCGTACTTCAGTGAGCAGCAGCAGTGCACACCTGGAGAGGCCAAAAGTGAAGTTGAAAAGTATCTCAACTCTCTGAGAGAGAACCCAGACGCAGATGTTCTTGACTTTTGGAAAGAAAACTCCAGGTCCTTTCCGCGCCTGGCTAAAGTAGCTCGCACAGTGTTCAGCATCCCAAGCGGCTCTGCAAGTGCCGAAAGGGTGTTCTCCGCTGCGGGCTTGCTATCCAGAAACCACCGGATGAGTCTGAAGCCTCAGACTTTAGCCAAACTTGTGTTCTTGAAGGTGAACTCAAAAGAGCTGTAGATAGCAAACAAGAGACTCCTCTTTTTATTTTGCTTTAAATTGCACTTGTAAGCGAATTTAAGCTAATTTAATTTTATACAATATGCGCAATTACGCATGGCACAAGCAGTATAGGCATATCATTTAATTAAGGCAAGTACATTTTATTTACAAGTCAACATTATAGGATTGGCCTAACAGTTTTTTAGTTTTACAATGGGATGACTTGCATTTTGTAGCCTATATTTTTATTTAAGAATGCCTATGATTCATTTAGTTTTATGATTACTTTTTCATTATGATGTTGGCCAGCCATAGTCTGAGAGAAATCATTTCCAAATGTTTGTAAATGTGTATTTTTATTTTGTTTTAAATTGCACTTGACAGTGAATATAAGCTAATTTAAGTTTATAAAACCACCCATATGCACAATTACGCATGGCGCAAGCAATAGGCATATCATTGGAGCGGGATAAAATTTATGATGGAGTGGAGCGGAGCGGAGAATGCGCAGAACCAGGCGGAGCGGACGAGCGGCGCAATTGACAGGTCTGTGAGCGAGGAGTGGACATTTTCACCCGGTCCGCTCCGCTCACATGCTCTGGTATAGGGACACCGAGCGCAACTGCCGTGTCCGCCAAATGCGTTGAGATACGCATTCTCAAAGCAAAAACTGTAGAAAGCTGTACGATTGACTTTTCAGATGATGACTGCAACATCTCGGATCATAGTTCAGAACATGCTCATATTCAACCAGAAAGTTACAGTGCTGCTGAATGTCTCTCTGCCTCTGGCTACTTTAACTATTAATAGTGATTTTGGTTATAGTTATTCATTTAATTATTAATCCCATTTCTAAATTAATAGTTTAGTGTATTTTAAGAGACTGATCAATCAGTTATTGGCTATCCTTTTCCTCCTTTAAGGGTACCGCCCCGAGGAACTTTAATATTAATTAAAGTCATTTTTTATTATCTTTTGATAATTAATAAACTTCAATAGCCAAAATAAATTGATTTCACCATCTGTTTGCTATACAGTGACTTAAACAGACTGTTGTAAAATGTAACTTTTCTCATTACGTTATAGTCAGGCCAAGCCATGTATTTGTCAGTGGAGTTTAATCTTTGATTCAGACAAATATTTATTCTGTGAATTAGGTTTGAAAGTCCAGCTGAGAAAGAAAGAGAAAACTAAGCATTTACAGTACTGAGGGAACACATTATTACTATGCAAAATAATACCCATCTTTATGACACTTAAGGCCAATGGTGTCATAAATATTTATGAAAATGAACTGAGTTATAAATCCGGAGAACAAATGACTAGCAGGAGTTTGGTCGCCAACAAGACTGCGATTGTATATGCAGCATTGAAAATCATATGAATTCTATTAGAACAGTGGCTCGAAAATGGCCCCCAGAGATCACTGGCAATTGTTTTTGGGGAGCTGGAGTGTTAGAGTGACAATCAGATAACAATGTAGGGGCTGTTTTCTTGTCACACTATACAGCTGAACAAATACACAATTGAGGGGGATAGTAAGAGCCTTGAAGTGGAGCTCACCGTCACCTGAATCTACACTTGTAACTGGTGATCGTTCTTGGTATAGTACATAGACCACTGGTTTTAAATGGGACATACTTCACAGAGAGATTGGATTGATCAGGGATGACCCTGATAAAGGCCATAAGACTTGTCTCGGACCTGGCTATTGGTCTCTAAAAGTTATGTGTGCAAACGCTTACATAAAAAGAAGCAGCACAATTTTATAATTGAGTTACACCAATCAGCAGCAGTCCCATACGCAACACACTGTGATGCACTGTGTGTTCTGACACCTTTCTATCAGAACCAGCATTAACTTTTTTGATTGTTTGGCATCTGTATCAGCAGATACTCAAGATTGCAGTATCAGTTTCAGATTGAGCCATCCTGATTATATACTACAAGTTGCTGGAGTTTTGACCTGCTTAGACTTTTTCCCTTCTCCATGCACCTTGTGCCAGAAACCCTGACTCTGCTTCTACAGAGAGAAATTGATTTGCATACCTTCATAAGTGAGTAAGATGTAAACCACCAACTGTAGGATAACATAACATCAGAAGTAGGGTTGAGCCAGTACTTGGCTGAAACGAGTATCCAGTACAGATAATGTACTTTTTTAGTGCTGCTGCTGTAAGCTGCCATTAGCGTGCCATGGAACCAGACTCAGCAGCCTCCGAGACAGATGGAGGCCAGTTTGACAACAGCAGTACCGCGGGGATTTATGTGGTTTTCTGATGGACATGTTGTTAAAAGTAGCAAACAGCCGCTAACGGTAGCTTGTGTAGCTAATGTTGGCTGACTCAGCCCTGGGGTGCAAGGAGCCAATTCTGGCAAAAACACCTACTCAGTACTGTATTCCCTTTTGTCAAACTGGCCTCTGTCGGCATTGGATGTTGAATTCGGTCCCGGTCTGAACATTCTATTTAGAATGAATCAGAAGTATGCTTGGAAAAACAGCAGCGACAGTTCAATCTAGCATAATGTTAAGTGGGTTTTCTGATCTGGCAACCTTACTACGCAGCCAGGATTTTCTAGATACTGCATGTAGGCACTGCTTCCAGTGGTTGACCATCAAAAAATGGGAGAAACTACCATTACTGCTACCTCTCCCCTTCCTTTTCTTCCTCTGGCCTTTCGGTTGGCTTCATAGGATTAGGTCCAGGCAGGTTAAGAGGCAACGGTTGCTAGAGGGATTTGTCTCCTGTAAATCTGGACTTTGTAACCTTAGTGGTCTATTCTCTTATTTGATTTTGAAACGACCTGGGTATACAAAATTACAGAAAATAGAAATATAGTACAAACTTGAAAATTCCTAAAGAAATTTTGATTGTGCCTTGCTCTGGCCTGTGACTCTGGCCCATACATTACTGACACTGCCGAGTAGTTTACAGTACAATGAGGGGAGACACCTGTGTTTAATTCGGCGTACGCGTGATCCACTAACAACCACGTATTTTAATGACAAATCTTGTTTTTTCCATCTATTCCCACGGTCTTCTCCCACTGAAACAGTGAGGCTGGTAACGAGTTGATGCGACAAAGTCGGCCAAAAAGTTTGTATTTATGTATTATATTGATGCCGAATTGACAAGAAGACTGTTGAGATATGATGAGTTTTTTTTCTTGTGTTTATACAGTTATGTGCTAGCTAGCCTTCTAATTATCTTTAGCTAGCTAGCTAGAGCTAGCACACATAAACACATTAACCAAAGCTAGCGCTTTGCTACGCGCTAGCTTTGGTTAATGTGTTTAATTGTATTATGCTCCTGAAGGAGTGCTAATGTAAATTAAGGAACAGCTCATAGTAGGGTAAAATATTTAAGGTGCATTGCACTTATTTTGTGTTAATATTAAAATCCTTCAGCTTTAAATTGTTTGCTTGTTAGCCACCTTCTAATTATCTTTAGCTAGCCAGCTAGCTAGCGCTAGCTTACTAATACCTTAATTCTCCTCTGTAGCTAGCTGTGTGTGTGCGTGTATGTGTGTGTTCACTGGCAGGCTTTGGTTGTCGTGGCAACCAGGGGAGACCACAGCACTTGAGACTCTTGAGAGAGACAGAAACATTTAAAATGAATCCCCTCGAACCCATGGCCAGGAACGACCGAAATGAAAACCGAAAAGACCGTGAGCGTCGTCATCTTGTTGACTATAGCACTGCCGAGTTTCAGTGGCTAAAGTTAAAAAATGTGACCTGGGGAGATTAAGGAAGGAGAGGTTCAACGAGCTCTTTTAAACATTTCTCCTCTACATTTTAACATGGGAGTAGATGGGGCCGTGAGAGGGTGTTGCTGGCGCATCAGTGCGTCTCCCGCCAAAACTATTTGTCCGACAGCTTCAGCAGTGGTATCACTGCGACACCAACGGATTTACCTATGTTTCTATCTATAAATTATTTCTGTTGAGTGACATTTGTGGCCTTGAGAGCAGTTTACAAATTTAATTTTTGTCAAATGTTTCTCTCTCCCCACACTCTAGCGATGATGTCACGCACTCTGGCAGTTGAAGATTATCGCAATACACACCCATTCATTTTTTGGACCGTTTTTTGGGGATTTATCGGCAAACTGTTTGGCGAAACGCTTAGAAAAGTCATAGCACTAATGTCCTCACCGAGCCGCACGTTTTGATACCTTTTTTGTGTACGTGCGACCAAAACTGCGGGAGGAGAAGCGCGCTGAAAAACGTACGGAAGAATAAAATATTATAAGTATGGGGAAGAGTAGTATTGTGCTTTTCAAGGCACAATAACTAACCCAAAACCACAATGTTTTAGTTTCATATTTCTCTGTCACATGTGTTGAATAAACAAGTTACAACATGTGTATAGAGTAGGATTTAACAGTTTAAAATCAATAACTTTAAACATCTTTTGCCATGATGCCTTACTGTGGCTGTGCCGGTGACCGTCTGACTGCCGGAGTCTGACGCGCTCTGCTCACTGTGGCTCTGTGAGGACTGGTACATGTTGAGTGGATGCTCGCTGACGGAGGCCTGGATCCCGGTGTAGTCCTGCGGTGCTGCTGGGTGCTGGTGAGGATGTGGGTGGGAATGTGGATGTGAATGGGGGTGTGAAGCTGTGAACTCAGTTGGAATGCCGTTCTGGGGAGGGGGGGCAAACTGGGCTGATGGGTAAGCCTGGGCCATGGATGGATCCGGGGGTGCCGGTGTGTCCTGGTTACCCTGTATGGACAAAGAGAGTCACTTTTTAATTTAGAAAACAATTTCAACATTCCATCATTAGATTAGATTAGTAGATTTTGTTCGCTTCCTGGTTCCTTGGTTCACACACTCATGCTTCCCTCCTCTGACTCTGAGGTCAAAATATACATTTTTTGTACTACTTTGTTTTGTGATTAAGTACCTGTAAAACTAATAACAGCTGTTCTTTAGCATGTTAACATGCTAAACTAAAATGATGAACATCAGCATATTAAAAGGTAATATGAATTAGATTTAAAACATGAATATAGCAGCAAACCACTGAGATATAGAGGAGACATGGTGTCCTGAACAGAGATGACATCTCTCTGCCTTTGTTGCTATCCTAGCCTCTCTGTAGTTTGTTTACATAGCCGGACTAGCCACGCACGCATGTTCGTGCATGCAAATCCCCGAAAGCAACTGAAACTGCAGAATGAAGGGTTTATTTTTGATCGAAGAAGAGTGGATGATGGATGGAATAGTTAAAATGTTACAATGATATGCTGTTTTTTTTAGAGTCTGTTGGCGAGCTATTGGGGATATTATGGCTGTTTCTGGTTAAATAAAAGGTCACATTCATCTATGTGGAGATCCTTTATATTATGTTGTCAGACACTTAGAATAACAATCTGAGTCTGTCAGTGGCAAAAACAACTTTTTGTTGACATACTTTGGATTAGATAATGTTACATGGCAGTCTTTGTAGCCCGTTTTGTTTCTATTTTCTCATCTAACTCAGTGAATTAGAGTTTATTTCAAACCAAACCAGAGTGGGTGATTGTTGGAAAGACTGCGGAAAGACTAACAGTGACACTTTTTGTGAGTTGTATTTTGTTTTTGTCCAGTTTGCAGTCAGTTTTACGATAATCTGCTTGGTAAAAATTCTGGTTGAGATGCTGATGCTCTAATGCGACATCTAAGTGGCAAGTGAATTTCATATATAACCTTTAACATTGGAGTAGTTGCCTATGTGTGACCTACCCGAGCTGTTACTATGGGTTGTTTCTTAATGTTTTTTCCCTCATAAGCTGCAGTCTTATGGAAATATGTATGTTGGTTGGTCTGTCCATCCATCAAAATATCTGTCCTATTGGCTAGATTGCAATGGAATTTGGTAGGAATATTGTTGGCCTCCAGAGGCTAGGAGGATAGTCTTTTAGGCCAAAATGTCTATACTATCCATACTTTGCTTGATGACAACTTTATCTTGAGCTGTATCTTGAAAACAAATAGCTGGATTTCTGCAAATATTAACAGTCCAGAGAGCATGAACCATTTTATTTTTTATGTCCCATGAGCAAATGAAACAATATAATCTAATAATGTCACTTTTTGAGCACATTGACGCTTCCCTGAAGGAGGAATTGCTTTCCAATTTGGACACTTCCTGAGCTTTCCTTTGCCTCAACCTGCAGATAACTTTTAAATTGTATGTATATTCCTGCAGTCCTGCAAGACTTAAAGAACAGAAATAATCTGATTGTTGACATTTTCACTGAATCAAACTACAACAAAAACAATGAGCATCATGGATACATCAACCACATTGTAATTTTACAAAAAAAGCTTTTAAAAGGTTGGTTCATCATAACTCTCACTAGTCTTATTGTATTCAGTGTTACTTATCAGTGCACATTTACAGTGCAGATGTGATCAGAGTTTTATAAATGTTCTATTGTTCAATCAAAGTCCCCTAGTTCTGAGTGTAATGGGACTCTAAATTGAATGAACTTGCCACTAGCACACACACACACACACACACACACACACACAGACAGTTGTCTAGTCCACGTAGAGGAAACATACTTGAAGAGCTGTTTTGTGTAATAAGAACCAATTTATCCATCATTGAGAGAGCAGGGTTATCCACTTGATTATAGAGGGAACTCTACATCACAGACACGCCGACCAAATGACACACACACACACACACATTAATAAACTGTCATACAGCCAAAATACTTACGTCAAGCTGCTAATATACAATAAATACCTTTTATGCACCCTGTGCAGGAAAAACTGCATTTAATTTAATAGTGAGTATTTTAGTGAGTATTTTTAGTCTTCAAAATATGACGCTGTAGGTACCCCTCTTGTGTCATCTTTTCAACTTCCGGTAACGAGAAAAACATCCGGTTACACTTTCAAAATAAAGTTTGCATGGTTAACATTGTGAAACGGTCATACTGTAGTTAGGGTAGGTTAAGGCACAAAAAGTACTTGACTAGGTTTAGGAAAATATTGTAATTTACATTGCGTACCTGATGTAACTTGAATACAAGATTCAAGATTCATATAAGTGAGTAAAATTCTTAGGTTTTGGCTCCTCAACGTTGCAGCAACAACAATAAAAAAAAACAAGTTGAACAAGAGCGCAAGGTGCTGTGTTTGTGTGTATGAAAGAAAACAGACTGTTAGTGTTCATCGTCCATAAACCTGGTTGTCTGATGAAAAAACTGTCCCTGAGTCTACTACTAGTGGTACTGCTTGCCAGACGGCAGCAGCTGAACAGACCGTGGTTGAGGTGGTTAGGGTCTCTGATGATCCTGCAGGCTTTACTGACACACTGACTGTTTTAAATACCCTGGATGGAGGGAAAACTCACATCCACTGATCCTCTGGGCCGTCCGCATAACCCTCTGTAGCGGCTTGCGGTTGAGGGCAGTACAGTTCCCATACCAGGCAGTAATAAAAACCAGTAAGGATGCTCTAGGTTGTGCCTCTGCAGAAGGCCTACAGGATCTTGGGTCCCATGCCAAACATAAGTTAATTTAGGTATGTAAAAAAGTTTAGTTTTGGTTTCACACAGGACACCAACAGTGGTCTTCTGAGTTAATCCATCCCCCCCACCACCTCCATAAGCGGTCTTTATAAAACATCACCTGACTTTGACAGTGTGTTTAACAGAGTGTTAAAAACAACACTAGAAGACCTACCTACAGCGCCACATTTTGGGCCACTGACCAAGCAACTGACTTGTTGTGTCAGGGCTTATAGATGTAGTCTGAAGTAAGTTGCTCTTTTAAAATACAAATTCTGCAGACTAAAGAAAGGAATTTACCAAACACTTGCCAAAATGTGTCCTGTATTCCAGTAATTCCCATCAAAAATGGTGATTTCTAATGACCAAACACAGAGTCAGCAATGACTGTTAAGCACAAAAAAAGAAAGAAAATAGAGTCACATAGTGGAAACACTGAAGGGGAGAGAGTGAACATAGCCCCAAACAGTGTGCAGTGTGTATGTGAGAGAGGTTGCTCCTGTGGGACATTTATATCTCAGCCATTACAGAGAGAGAGAGAGAGGGGGAGAGAGAGAGAGAGAGAGAGAGAGAGAGAGAGGTGCAGCCATATGTAGGAAAAAGAAAAAGAGGGATGCAGACAGTGAGTCTTGGCTAAATGCTCTGCTGTGTAATGAGAACCACATTTAGAAGGCTGAAATATGCTTTACGTGGCAGAGCACTGCACACACACACACACACCCACACACACACACACGTACACACACACAGGCGACTGAAGGAATACAATTAAAATTCTGAGTAAGTGCACAGGGAGAGAGAAAGGAGGAATTTCTCTCCTTCAGAATAAAAACATCTCTCAGCATTCTTCCCTGTGTGTTACTATAGAATGATCTCTTAAAGACAATTGTAGATTATGCTCAAATTTATGTCTTGTGTTTAGAATTTGTAATGCCCCAGTCTCTCCTCCACTGACTGTCTATCTTACTTCTGCGAACTCCATAAAATCTTATATTGACTTGACTTCCGTAACAGATTGCGCTGTAGCCGCATTTGTTCAGTGTTCTCTGTGAAAGCCACAACACAGACAACGCTGCAAGCGTGGCAGCACAGGTTCAGCGTAACTTGGTTTTATAAACATAAAACTCTGTATTCAGAACCACCAACTACATACTATCAGAACGGAGTATGTTAGACCAGGCTCAGCCAGTTTCTGGTTTTAGAAAGTAGAAGAAAATAATAGCAATGCTAATGGCAAACCACTGCTATTGTGTATCATCCCATTATGCTCTGATAAGAGAAGTTATAATTGTGGATTTTCATTATTTTTCCAAAGATGAACATTTACCTGACAGATAAATAACGTCTATCTCAGTTTTCTTAAAACTGCAAATATTTGGGGCACCCGGATAGCTCACCTAGTAGAGCTAGCGCCCCATGCACCAAGGCTGAGTCCCTGCTTCAGCAGCCATAGGTTCAACAGCTGTCACTATTGATATATATATATATCCCTATATCTTTTCATTTAACACACTGTAAACCTGTAATCCATAAATTCCCAGTGAAACCCTTGTTCGTCAATTGATTTCAGTCACAATATTCCAGTTTGTCTTCCTGTCTGTTTCCTGTTTGTTCCGATCTTAAAACTTAAAGATCCCCTCCAGACATGTATTAAGACATATATACAGAAAGTCTGCATGGAACAATAATGTGTGTCTGATGTTTTTGCCGCAAAAAAAGTCTAATTTCCACATAAAATTCTTAAAATCTAATCTTCTCTTTCTCCCTCATTAAAATGTCCAGAATACCCTGAATATGCAAATATTGTGCATTTCTAAAGTTTTCCTGCTGGACACAAGATGTCTCCTCCTTCACTGTAAAGTCCATTCTCAGTGGATGTGCACTGGTGGCTTCAAGGTTTCTACATCACACTGTACAAGTTCCATACTGGACCAGGACTGACTTCCAAACTATTTGTGATGTCATAAATCCTGCTGGTAGGCCCCGCCCCTTAAAATCAGCTTTTCAATGAGCACAGAGAAACTTTCCACTTTCAGCAGATGAATGTGAAAACATCCTTCTAGAGTCAAACTGCACAGACAGCATTCACACAGCACACTGTAGGGACAAGTAGAAACACTGATTTCTGACTGGAGGTGGACTTTAACAAAGACATTATTGTCATAATCGTACTCTGTCACTACAGATTCACATCCAAATATGCAAAGCACACTGTGAA